CCCGCAACCCCACCAGTACCCCCCCAGACCGCCACAGACCCCAAGCCGGACCCCCAGCCCATCCGACCCGCCCCCTACCGGCGGTCGCACACCAACGGGCAGGCCCACACTGTGCAGCACCAGAACACCCCCCGCGGGCAGCACCCAGCCCCCACGCCAAGCCCCGCAACCCAGGGTACTTTTTTGTTTAGTTAATGCATTCAATACTTTTTAATCAAAATTTTATAACTTAAAATCTATTCAATTATATCACGTGTCACTTTGTTGCCACAATTTTTTTAAGTAACCATTGGTCAAATTTTTTTCAGTATTCAACTCATACATCAGGAGAATAAACACACCCAAGCTGCAGCTGTTCATGGACACAAACACCAGTGGTTATGCAAAAAAAAAAAAAGACAGGGGCGGAGATTACCATTTTTTTTATTATTCTATTATTCATAGTACCCCAAAATAACAAAAGGCCCCTAGGGTACATGAAAATATGGGTTTAAGATTTAGAAATCACACCTTTAACTGCCATTGATATCAGAAATCGGAGGTCACATGGGGTGTGTGATTCAATAGCTCAATTCTTCAGCATACAGAAGTCACTGAAAATATTAATACATTAGTTTAATGTTAAGCTTTACCTTTAAGGGAGTGCTGTCATAATTGGGAGATTATGAAGATTAAAAACTTATTTTTTCCCCTAAACCCACAGAGAGTCCAAATCAAAGTTAATTTCACTGATCTGCAGCTTTGGCTGGAAGAATGTGAGCAGAAAAGCAACAAGCCAAAACTAACTCCATACAATAATTCGAAAAACAAATTGTGGCAATATTGATTACCCATATTAGCAGCATACTGTGCCAACTTTTACAGCAATTTCCAAAAGAGGAAATTCTGTCAGTAATCTGCATTTGAGGTTTTTTTCCCCCGAAACTCTTCCCAATGTTAAGAAATGAACCAAATCGGCTGTGTCCTTTTCTCCAATGAAATTAGAATAATTCATTTGAATAAAGCAATTGGAAACAATAAATCTCTGGGAACTGATGGCTGTGCAGCAGATTTTTATAAATTGTTCTGTTCTAAATTGGCACAACATTTGAAAGAAGTATTTACCCAAAGTCTTCTTAAATCCTCTTCCCACTACTTGTGCCAATAATTGCCTTAATTCCAAAATCCAAACCAGCCTTTTATTATGCAAGTGGCCAATCTCCTTATTAAATAATAATTATAAAATGATTTACTACTTGCCATGTATGCTTGAGTTTAATTGCTCTTGCATGGTTTCTATTTGTATTTCTATTGTGTTCTTTTTATTTTATATAGCCTACTTCAAATGATTTATTTTCTACTTTTCTGTATTTATCTGTATATTTTTCTGTTATTGTGCTGCTGCAGCCTCTGCATGTCTCCTCTGGAGATACTTGACTACTCTAACCTTGTTTAGGAAGACAGCTTTGCTCACAAACTCACTACAGTTCTTAATTCATTGTAGTAGCGGTTTAAACTCCATAGATACATTTGATTACTGAAGATTACATTAAAAACCCTACATCCACCTTGTGTAGTCTATCTTATTATGTAGTCTAAATAATTATTATGTTATACACTCCTTATCAGACTCTCTCATTTCCTCAAACAGGTTTTGTTAGCTTTGGCATTAATCTACAAACATTAGGCTACTTCTTACCTCACAATTTTTACATTTGGAACAATTGCGGTATTGTATTATGAACAAATCCCTATTCCTTGAAAACTAGCTCCAAGGTGGTAAGTATTAGTGTCTTGGTTATTGATTGTAATGGCCTTCTTCTAACCACATCTCTCCAGGTATAATGTTCCTATAACTCCAAGAGAATTTTCTGTAGTTTTTGATGGTGTTCCATCCAGAAGTCATATATCATTTAGGAGTGGAGTAGCATCTCTCCTTGATCCTTGGGGCTTTCTAGTTGGCAAGATTTGTTTTTTTGGCACGAAAATAGATAACCACAAAGTAAGAACAACATTGTTGCTGTCCCCTGCACAGTATCATATTGGAATTGATATGTAACATATATGATTTTCTCCCTTTGGAAGTTCAAAAATGATATTAATGTGATGTGAATCACAACCTGACGCATCTTTCTAACTTATTCTGGGTCT